CTCGCGCACCGAATCGCGATGGACGCGATCCCCTCGCTCCTCCGAACTCGTCACGAGTGGACGGTGAGGGGACGCCGGTCGAAGCCTCTCCTTTCTCGTCGGAGAGAGAGGAGAAACCCGGAAAAAAAAGCAGTTTCTCGGGAACGGAAAGGGAGGATTTCCTGCTTTTCGCTTGCAGTGCCACTCCTAAAATGCCTCGACCGAAGAAGTGCCGTCTCTCGCAGACGGACGTCGTCCTTGGGAATGCACGAGGCAGACTCCATCGAGCCGCGTGGCCGTTTTTTCTCCTGGCATCTTCTCGTCGGTGAACGTCTGCTTTCTCTCCGCGCTCTCTCTCCTCGATCTCTCCGGAGAGCGCGGAACGGAGCCACGGCCTCGAAATGCGGCCGGACTCGGGGACTGCACGTCTTCGTGGCGGCAAGACGTGCCGACGGTGGGGAAGGGAAAAGAAGAGCGTGCAGCCGGGGTCGTCACCGACCGAACCGACGATTCGCACACGGTCGAGTCGGAAGGGAAAGAAAACGGGGACGAGGACTCGGCTTCCACGCGACGATCCACGATGGCTTCGTCACGAGACGTAATCCAGCTTGGGAAAAATTCATCGGCTCGAATCCTCGAAACCCAGGGCTTGCGTCTCCGATACTCCATGCTCAAATTTAACCGGACGTGATGAACTCGAAAGTACGCACAGCGATGCTCTTCTTTTTCGGCTCTAGTTGTCGGTTGGGAAGTTACGAACGTTCGAGATGCTTCCAAGGTTTTGAGCATTCTCGAGAGCGTGAGGCGTGTTTCGGCTCATTCCCCATTAAACTTTTAATTTTTATTTTTATTTCAAAGTGTTTCCTGTTTCCTATGCGGCGACGACACGACTCATTCGTGTTCCTGCGTTTGACGAAGGGATCGACCTGCGTTAGTCGACGCTAGCATCATTTAAATGCGTGTCGTGATGCACTTTGTCCAGGAGGTAAAGATCGGGCGTAGAATATCGCAAAAAAAGCGTCATTTAGCGAAAACTCGACGACGTAAAAGGATACCAAAAGCAGCATCCCCTGCCCCCTCTCCCAGTGGCAAAAAGTTTCAATTTTTTTGTTGGAAAAGTCATGGAACGAGGGCGAAGTCGATCGTGTCCATCTGTACGGAGTGATCCTGCTACGAGCTTGGAAACGAGGCGGTATCACCCATGGAGGTCGATCCGTAACGTCTAACTCGGCTTTCACTTCGTAGATGTCTCGCGGGAAAAAATCTCCATTCTCCACGTCATCATCGAGACCTGGCGCTAGGGACAATATAAGTCGATTCGAGTGTCGTCTGGCTCTGCGACAACGGCCGATATGTAGCATCGGTACGTAATACGGCGGTGGCAAAGCGTTTTCGTCCGGAAAGACCCTCTAACCCCCGAGAGGAGCGATGAGAGAAGAGAGATTCGAGCCCATCCCGTCTGTTGGCATGCAAAATTTACATGCCGAGACCAAACGCTGATGCAACATCCTGTAATAATGAAAAAAAGTAGATTCCATTTCTTGTCGTGTCGTCAATCCAAAGATTGTTACTCGGAAATATATATTTTTTTGGACGCGGAATGTGTGTGAGAGCATCTCGATCCTTTCATGACTTCGCTTTTCATGTAAAATTCTATAAATAGATCGTGCCACCGCATTTTCGATTTGAGGAACGCCTTCTCGGATGACTTCCTTTTGCCGCGCCTTTCCTTTCCCATTCAAAAATCTGAAAGGAGTGACTCGTATCGGAAAGCATGTTGCCCTTTTCTCAAAGGATATCTGTTACCGATTCGGTTCCTCCTAACGGTCGCCTCAAAATACGCTCTGTCGTCAAGCTAAACCTGTCTAGGCGACGATATCGGATCGGGCGGCATTGCCCTTAAGCCGTACAGTTTCCAAGGCCGGAAGTAAAGTAGCCTTGGGGAAGAAGAGGGAAAAAACACACATCCAAGATACCCTCACCCGCCCGAAGCGATTCGCTTCAGCTCCTTCCTCAGTCAGCTGTTGGTCTGTCTCACGATCGGTTCTGCCGAACGTGGGACCGCCCGTTTCAATTGACTTTAGGTTTCAAGTCCGGTTTTGGCCACAGTTCCAAAATTTGATTTGTATTACTTTTCCTTTTGTTTCTTTTTGTTTGTGTTGCCTGTATTTCCCCTCCCAATTGCATTGATTGAATTCCGTACTTTATTTTTATTTGAGTTTCATGCCCTTCATTTGTTTGTCTTTTATACGTGTTGTTGCCTTGCATGACATGATTTTTTGTTTTAGTCCTTTATAATTATTAGCCTTATTTAATTTAGCCGATTAATCCGCTGTTTCTTTCCCTAGCCATTTTAAATTCCCTCTTTCCCTCACAGTTTTTTCCGTTAAAATATTTTACTTCTGAAATTTTTTACTAATGCATCATGCTTTCTTCCTTCCATTTAGTAGGGGGACATCACTCATCACTTCCATCCCAGTAGAATCTCCGTTCCNAGTCTGCAGTCACCAGGTTTGGACAAACATTTCAATGTTCTCGTTTTTCTTCCCAATGCTGGATTTGTCAAATTCTTTCTTCATTTTGGTGCTTTTCTCTGTCATTTCTTAGTTCGAGAGAGGACGTCGGGACCTGGAGGAGCCATTTCAAGAGGACGACAATTCTTCGCCGGACCTCACCTATCTGCAGTAATACGTTTTTTTTCTTTTACTACACATCTATAAGTTTTTTTTTTAAGCTACTTATGATTTTTTCATGTTTTGTTAGTGAATTTTTGATATTGGTATGTAAAGTATTTTTTGATGTTACTATGAACCGTGGTCTCTTTCGGACTTTTTTTGTTTGACTGGGAACTGTGTCCTAAACCGGGCTTTTTATGTTTTGCGTTGATGTCATGTTTTTTGTTTGTGTTGTTTGACTGGGAACTGTAGCTGAAACCGGACTTTTTCGTTTGTTTTGTTTTTTAGTTCATTTTTTTGTTGTGTGTCCAATTATTTTTTCCTTACTTACTTTACTAATTTTAAAACTTTTTTATTTGCCCTTTTCATTTGCTTGATTCCTTTCCTCTTTTTGTCCTTGAAATTTCAAATTCAATCTAATCTTCTTTTTACTGACTAGTTTTGCGGCCAAGCCTAAAACTCACTCTGTAACTTCTTTCTGCATGTAATGTAAATTCGTACTCTCTTAATGTTTATTTCGCCAGCGCAACATTTAAGGCCCTTCTGGCCAGCTGGCCCCGGTCAACACCTCCTTTTTTGGGGCTTCTATCTCCTATCTCTCCTAAGACAGGATGGAAATCTAGTATGAATTAAATTTAACTCTTTAAATTAAGCACTTTAAATGAATTAATATATAATTTGATAGGCTTTTTAATAGGTGGACCTAAAATTAATTTGCCCCAACCAACTAACCTAATAATAGATAGGTTGCTTCTTATTAAATGGCCGCTCCCTTTCATTCAAGATAAGTAGATTTAACAGCTATAACTAAAAACGAAAAAAAAGGGAGGGATCCTGGCGTGGCGTACGAGTCTGTTCCCAGACTCATGCGAGTCTGTTTCCAGACTCGTCTGAGTCTGGAAACAGACTCGTCGTCGCACCTTAGTCGTGGGACACCTTCCCAAGGCTACGTCATTAGCTTCACCAGGGTTTTGCACTCTGCCAGCCCTGGTTTTGGGAGGATCTCACCATGGTGTGGCGGGGGCTATGTATCGGTCCACCACATGGCAGCGGGGCCCACCATACCTTTAGCTCCTATTCTTATTTAAAAAAATGTATCATCATGATGATGCCTTGATCTGCATACTTCCTCTCGTGACCTGTGAAGTCCCAATGGTCGACACCTTCCCAAAAATCCTTGAGGATGGCTGAATCGGGAAACAAGAGAGGCATGGAGAGAGACAGAGGGAGAGGAGGTTCTGGCGGCAGACGTGGTGCATGGAATCCGGGATGAGGACTCCAGTGCTCACCAGTGCGTTCACCGTAATGCGACACGGTGACTTGCCGAGGAAACCGTTTGGTGTCCATGTCTTCAATGCATGACGACGAGGGACGTGAACCTCCCAGTGATCTTGCGTGCCACAACCCGTTTGGGACTCGCCAACACCGCCCTGTCGTGTCTGAGCAGGTCTCGAGTGTGTGATGTTTCGATTGCATTCATTAGTTGGTGCATTCCGCTGCTGTGGCTATTTTCTGTGTTTTTTCTTCATTTTTCTCCCCGAGAGAGAACCAAATTAGCGTGATTGAGTGGATTATGAGTATATGGAAGATATTTCCGGATTTTTATGGATATTTTATTTTCCCCTCTTGCGATGCTCGAGGCTCCTTCGGGGGCTCCTGGGAATTGGAATAGATTCGTATTCACCACTGGTTCCATGTTGGCTGTTATTTCCTTGAAGTTCGACGCCCCGTTTCGACGTTGCCCGGCCGAGTGTCTTCTGACACCCAAGCTTAAATAAATTCAGATAGGAATATAATGAAATCGGATATAAAGAAATTTCAGACAAAACGAAAGAATTTGTGTTCCCAGATGGAAACTAAATTTTTTTTTTCTCCCTCTTGAGGGAAGTGCAGATGGGTCAGCCCTCATCTCTATTCGGCCTTCCACCTCGGTCTTCATCTGCACGGCCTAGAAGAGCCGAGGATTTGACACGTGCAGAATGTGCGTGTGGCGGGGGATGTGAACGTGGATGATGCAAGTGAACGATGCCGCTTCCGATGCTGCGATGACATCACGCATTCGTGTTCCTGCGTCTGACGAAGGCATAGACCTGGACTGGTCAACGTTAGCCGCATTTAAATGCCTGTAATTAAAGTACGATCGTGCACTTTTTCCTGGAGTTAAAGATCGGGCATAGAATATCGCAAAAAGAAATGTAATTTAGCGAAAACTCGAAGGCGGCATCCCCCTTCCCCATTGGCAGAAAGTTTGAATTAGTTGGGAAAGCCAAGGAACTGGGTCGAAGTCGATCGTGTCCACCTGTATGGAATGATCCTGCTACGAGTTGGGAAAGCGAGCAGTGTCGACTAGGAGACTCGATCGGTCACGTCGAGCTCGGCTTTCACTTCGTCGTGTGTGCGGACGGTGTCGGCGGACGGCGGCTCTCGAAGTCGGTGCCGTAACGCCTTTCGTCGGGTCACGGCGAACACGTGTTCGGGGCGGGGTCGGGTCGGCGTCGTGTCCAGGGCTGTCGTTACGGGAAACGACGGCTCTGGGACGGGTGCGCACCGGGGACGCGGCTCTTGTCATCCCCCCGATGAGAGACGAGACGGTTTTTCTTCTTCCATCTCGGATATCGAGGTGCTCGACCCTCTAATTCCTTCGTGCCGAATCCCCGTCCATCCCGCTCTGGACCGCATTCGCAAACCGAGGTTCTCTACCCTCGACTCTCTCGCGCCGAATCCCCATCTTGGCGGTAGGCTCGCCCGGTTCGCGTTCGTGTCTGGCGATCACCTCTGGATACGTCTGTCTGCGTTTTGCCGGTATCGCCCACATCGTGCCGTTGTCGAAACCGGTGTCTCGCATGAAAAGTCGAGCCTCGGTCCCCCATCCGCTCCCCCGAGTTTCGTCGGGTTCGCCCCGATCCGAGAGCCTCAAGTACGGCTGCAGTTAACCCAGGTGTCGGCCTCCGGTCTGCGGACCTCGCCGGTACCCCAACGTGCCGTATTCGGTACTCCGGAAGGGTGGTCCGACGAGACCGTCACGATGGCATGCCGGAGGGCTGCAAGGCGATCTTCGTCGAGATCCAGCCACCCACCCACCGTAACCACCGGACGATGAGTATCGGTACCCAGCGGGAGGGACGGTCCATGCATCTGGAACGGATGTCGAGATTAACTTTCACACTCACTCGGTCCGAGTACCTCTCCCGTGTCGCTCTGACGAAAAGATGGCGCGTTTCCGATTTTGGGAAACCTTCTTTTCGAGGGTGTCCATTATACAATTAACGCTTCCTTTTACCCTCAGAAAGGCCTGGAAATGCGGTGAAATCCTCCGAAACGTAAGGAACGGACACCCAGGAACGAATACCGTCGGCGAGTACGAGATGACGGTTCCAAGATCTCCTTTCCGAATTTCACCGTGGAATCGGAATTCTCACCGTGAGGACGAGCTCCTTTCCGGGTGAGAAATCTCAAGTCAGAAAGTTCTTGCCGTGGATACTCACGGACTCCTTCATCTTGATGACGTCATCTACTGGGTACGGTGGAAATGACAGAAAGCTACATGCATTCCATGTAGTTTTATGTATTACCTCATTGGAAATAGTTTTTTGTAATATAGTTTCCAAAAGTACCCAGTTTATTTGATTTTCATCCAAAGAACCATCTGATTTCCAAACGTAAGGTATAGTCAGAATTCTAAAAGGGATCTTTATTGAAATTTGAACGATGTACTGTAATTTCTGGACTGCGTGCACGAGTCGACAAATTTCAGGCCACAAATTTGAAGTTGAATCGGATACTAATATAAGCTATTTCTAACGAGGTAGGCCTACTCACATTTTTTTGACGATGGTTCTTTGTAGGGAAAGTCGCTTCACCCTGTTTCTTTCAGTGGTGCATCGTTCCCCCCCCCCCCTATGACAGTTTGAAGAAGTTTGAAACGGTTTCGTTTTTTTTATCATTGCCGTTTCGAGGTCCTATCTTTCTTTCTTTCGTTTTTTTTTTCCATTCGATTACTTTGGTAGTCGTGACGCCCGGTACGACAACTGGCACTCCTCGCGAATTCTTCGTTTCCCAGGTTTCAGAATTGTCCATATATGTTGGAACAATCCGGCAATTTAGGAATTAATATTCACACGATCGTCCCAAGGGGGACAAAATGATGAGAATACTAATACCTTATATCATCCTCTTTGCCCATTTAACCGATTACCTATAGAAAGTAACTTTTGATTAAAAATCGATCGCGGTATCACGACTCGCGACAGAACGTCAAGAGGTCTTTGTACTCGTGCCAGGTAAGAACCACAGGAAAATATTTGAAAATATCACGTCTTCTTCCTGTTTCGAGAGCATCCAAAATCATGAACGAGGGTAATGTTTTCGAGCAACAACGAGCAGGCAGTCATGCGGTCAAAGAGGAAAACACGGCAGAAATTCGTCACGTGAGAAAGAAACGCAGAAAATGAAAAAATTGTCATTCCGTGCTTCGAGGCACACGAGCTCCATCACGGCGACAGGAGTCACGAGAAAGATGAGAAAATTGGGACACATTGGGCAGGGACGAAAGCTGGGTCCTCCTGCTCCCTTTCTGCACTCGGCGTCTCTCTGCTTCCTCTTCGATCGGGGCCCTTCCTCTTCCTCGATCTCCATCTCCCCGAATTCGAACTCGGTGAACGGCGCATCGGCCGAGGCCAACGCGTCCTGCAGGGCGAAGCGGCGATTTACATCTCGGTCGAGACCGACGATCTCCGTTTTCCCGTCGAGAGCCAAACGACGAGGCCGACCCGAGCGCTCGCGGTCCGCCGGAACGCGAGGGAGACGGAAGCGTCTTCGTCGCTCGTGTCCACCTCTGCAGTCCACCGTTCGCGATCGGCCATCTTCCGACGGAGCCAACCGACGGCCCATTGCCGTCTCGTACTCGACGGCTCCCGCGCGAGGGGTAGCTTCCCGCACGGGGACACCACAAGTTTCAGCGCCTGGTAACTCCTCCGACTGTCATTTACACGGTAGCTCTGTATCACGGCTGTAAGCACGAGGAAACGATCGGCGGAATCGGCTCCATTTCCGTTCCCCTCGAGAAACTGCAGAAAAAAAATCCCGACCCAGAAGTCCGTCGACCTCGACGCCAGAGTCGGGTTCGTCGAACCCATCGACGATCCACTGCAGGCGATCCGACTGCATTCCGTCTTCCACTCCCTGCAACGTAGAAGCGAAACTTCGAGAACGATGACGTTCTGGAGAAGTCCACGGAGCAGTCGTAACTTACCAAAAGCACGTGTAGGATTTCGGAAAGATGTTTCGACTCGTCGTACGGACTGCTCGAATACCGATTCTGCAACAGACACACGCCACGGCGTGAGACGCCTCACCGCTCCAGACACCCAGAAACCGGCGACGAAATGGAGCAAACGAACGAGTATCTCCGCAAGGACGAGCCGCGAGAGCCGGGGCTGGCACCTCCCGAGCGTCACGAGAAGTTTCCCGACGAGCATCGCGATCGACGGCACCTTCCGAGCGATGCTCACCGTCTCGTGCAGGAAAGCCGCAGTTCGCGAATCGTTCCGCACCGGGACCTGCGAGACGATCTCCGGCATCCCCGTCCCCTCCTCCTCCCCCTGACGGACGGCACATCGGACTCGACTCGACCCCTCACGCTCACCCTGCCGAGACCTCCCGAGCGCCGAGACGTCGCACGACAGAACCAGCAGCGCCAGCGTGCAACGCAACGAAGAGATCTCCCTCGTCTGCGACGGACTCCAGTGCCGCATGGACCCGCCTCCTCCCATCCCCGTCGACCCGCTCTCCCCCTTCTCCGTGCTCGAGATGTTCTCCGCATCTCGGGCCCCAGGAGAAACGGCAGCAGATGGCGAAAGGCATCCTCCTCGTAGTACGTCTCGCAGATCTTCGGCGCCCACGACGAATCGGCATCGAAGACCCCGTCGCGACGCACCGCGCGTGCCGAAACGACCGGCGAGAATGCACACCCACCGTCTCGACGCGACGACGGAGCGACTCCGCGCACCGACGGCACGTTTCGATGCCGTCTCCCACTTCTTTCTTCGGGAAGTAGAAGAGTCTTCTCACCGACTCCTCTTGCATCGGATTCCGAAATGCCAAAGGCTGCGAGGGCAAACCACGGGGAGAGAAACGAAGAAAAGTGGATCCTCACGCGTTTTCCAGCCGGCATCGGAGCGAACGAGGCTTCCGAAATGTTGGCTACGACTCGTCTCCGTCGGGACGTTCCAGCAAGAAACAACCTATGGAAGAAAATCCACTCGTTCGAGCCGTTGCATCTCCTATCAGATGCACCACCTTTAGTCCCGCAGAAAAAAAAACCGAAACCGACTGGAGACGATCGGAGGAAGAAAGGTGGAACCGTAGCGTCTCGGTCGACTCGGGGCATCGAGAGAGAGAAGGAGACGAAGCAGCTCCACCCGTTTCTGGACGACGAGACCCACCTCGGACTCGAGACGCAGGTACGTATCGCACGAGAAGGCCAGGGAGAGCGTGACGATGCATTCGTCGCCGTCGGACGATCGATCCCGGCGAGCACCCGAAACCGAGCACCGAGTCGGCGAAGAGACGCGACGACGCCACGCAAAGGAGGAAGAAGGGAACTCGCCACGGCCACGCGACACGGGTCCGGCAGGAAACGAAAAGAACCCGAGGTTCTCCTCGGCCACCTGCTGCCGGATCCACGAACGGTCCCTTCTTCTCGCCGTCTCGAAGGAGTTCCGACTCCCGCCGAGAAGGTGCCTCCTTCCCGCCGCCGTGGATCCTTCGAAAATCACCCAACGGATCGGTGACGGCATTCGTTCGAACCGAGAACGAGTCGATCGCTCGGGTCGCACCCACCCCCCGTCTTCCTCGACGTCATCGCGAGGACGAAATGACGTAGGAAGAAAAAAGGCCTCATCCAAGTTCCGATTTCGTTCCGTCCCACCCGTGACGGTGGTGTCATAAATAGGCGAATTGAAAATGGTGAGCCGATATTTTTCACCCGAAGACGTCATCGTTCCTACAGGAATGACACATAATTAGAATCGTCGTAGTTCTGAATGAGTTTGAAAATGAAATGTTTTTTGCTTTTACCCGCAAATATCAAGAATGGTCGTCCCACCCGTAACACAAGTCTTGCATGCTCACCCAGTTAGGTACAGGACCACAACTGCCCGTGCTGATGCGCACTGCTGCGCCATGATGGGAGACAGCGTGATCAATTTCTACAAGTTCATACATTTGAGAGGCGACATTTCAAATCTAAATCGTCCCACCCGTAACGTTTTTGTTAACTCTTTAAAAACGCAATTAAGTACTGTCATTAATTCATGCCGTTTGGCATTGCGGATGATAGTAAAAATCCAAATTTGTAGCATCCTTAGTTAAACCGTTTCAGAGATATCACGAGACAAAGTTTTTGACAAATGGCCAAAATTATGCATACTACAAAATTTGCAACTCTTTATCTAAGCACTAAACAAGCTTCAGTAAGGGATGAAATGCAAGTTCTTAAAAAGAGCTTTCTATCGATATGCAACATGTGTATGATGATGCAATATTTACAAATTAATCCAATTTTAAACATGTACAATGCTTGTCCCACCAGGAACTTTTGTTACGGGTGGGACAAAAGTATCATGTGGATCCATAATGACTTGAAATCTTGAGTTTCGTCCCTTAAGGTGGTTACTTGCGTACATACAATATAACAACAATCGAAACAATTTCGACCCACGGTGACCCTTTCGACCCATTGTGACCTTCCCTGAATCTCACTATTTAATAGTAGCCAGGGTCGACCAATAGATATTCAAGGTGACCCATGGTCTTTCTAAATTTTAGTAAACTTACATCGCCTTAGGAAAATGAGTCCCAAGTTGGATCATTTGGACAATCTGGCTAAATTTGGGTCACTGTGGGTAACCTGCAGTCGCTCTGGATCAAATTTAGTCACTCTATCTCCATTTTAGCATCATTCAGCCACCCAAGAACAATTAGGCCCAAGTTGGGTCGATCGAACAGTTTGGGTCACCATGGGTCACCTTGGATCACTTTTAGTCAACTCTGGCAACTATTAAATAGTGAGATTCACGGTAGGTCACCATTTGTCGAAATCGGTCACCTTGGGTCGAATTGGCTTGCCGTGGGTCGAAATTGATCAAAATGGGTCGCTTTGTGCAGCTGTGGGTCAAATGTGTCACTCGTTCTAATTTTTATAAAAGTATAAGTCACTCTTAGATAATTAGGCCCATATTCAGTCAACTGGACTGGTAATGAGGTCAAATTCATTTGCACTCATGTTTCACGTGTACATGAGACATGTACACCCACTCCACAAGTAACATTAAGCTGAGGAAATTCTACATGTGTCAGAAGGACTTAAAGCGTCTTGTTACGTGTGGGACATTTTCGGTGCAGTTCATGACTTCAAACAGCAATATATACTAGTACGATATGAAGGGTCCTGGAGCTCACCCGCGCTAGACCTAGATGCAGGAGAACATCAGAGACAAGTACAGATTGACAGAAAAGAAAGTTTTCAAGTAGAATTTTCCGTTTTTGTATCCTTGGAATTGCTCCTTTTTAGCTTGATTCACTCGAAAGAGTCACGACTGGTCAGGCTAAGTGCAACGAATTGCACGTATTGCATCGTCTGAAACCTCCAATTCCTCATTTCGAACCTCATCGAGATCGCTCGTATCGAGTCGCGCAAGTACGAGACGAAATACGAGCACGAAGACCGACGGACCTGGAAGAAACGCGGAAGGAGCGACTGCGTCCGAAAGAACTCCGTGGAGCTCGGAGCGAGTCGTCCGGGACCGGTCGCTCGTCGAACGGCAAGTAGGCATTCCGGTATCCGAGGCGGGAGTCGGGAGACACGCTACTCGCATTCAAACGAGACACGGTTTCCTCGTCGAGAACGAGGACTCGGACGAACGAAATCCGTGCTTCGCGCACTGGCATCCGTCTCGGCCTCGCATCGGTCCCCCCCAAAGCACTCGGCCTCGAGGAATGCATCGTTCGTCTCCACGGATTCCACCGACGCGTCGTCCGACTTCATCCACTTCCCATCGGTCGGGTTTGCGGGGACATCTCTTCGACACGAGGATACGGAACAAAACATCGATCGAATGCAGCCGAGAACTCTTTGGAATGAAATATGCAAGCCGTTCGACGTCACGGCACCTGCGATCCTCGACGAACGAATGATAACGGCCCGCATTGAAGTCGCAGCCGAAGCGTTTCGGTCGAATCGCGAGGACCCGAAGCGACGTCTTCGTGGCTTTTCTCCATTCGGAGAAAAGTTTGGAAGCAGGAACTGGATTTTCACGATTCGAGCTGCAGGATATCGACTTCGATCGTAAGAGCTTCCACAAGGGATACATTTAGTCTCACGCCTCTCGCAGAAATAGGGATCGGATCCTTCCAAGACTTCGCCTTTCACGAACCGACCGAGGGAGTCGGTGAGACTTCCGACTTGGGACTTCGCACCGGGAGATCGAGTGCCAGGAACGTCTCCTCGTGTTCGTAGCCGTCCCGGAAGAGACGAGAAATTCAGCTTTCAGTCTTTAACCTTTTGCGGTCAGAATAAAATTAAAATAAATGCGTGTGTCTTCTCTCTCGGTTTGATAAGTTTCCTTTCTTTGTTGTTTCTTTTTTCTTTCCTGATCATATAGGCTATAGTTTTCCGCTTTCCTCTTTTGTGGATTGCTGACTTCGTTTGCATATTAATTAATTCACTTGTTAATTTCGTTTTCGTTCCTTTTTAGTCTTTCTTGTTACTTAGGTTTAGGACTTTTTCATTGCCTCGTCCTTTCTGTATAGTACTTTGCATATGTATTGCCTCCTCTTTTTCTTTTCTTCTTCCTCTCGTCATTCCTAGACTGCCGGGTGACCTCGACTCCCTTTCCATTTAATGCCGTGTCCCTCCCCTCTAGCCTTTGGCTTCGTTTCTTTCATCCCCCCCACCCCAGGCTTCTGTTGTTCCTAGACTTTTTTTTCTCTCCCTCGCACGGTTTCTTCCGTGCGCGGGGCTTTCTCCATCATTCCTTCTTCCCTTGGTTTCGTCGAGCCAAGTGATCCAGCATAATGTCTCGTCATCGTCTGGGCGAACGTTTGCCAAGAAAGCACGCCGTTCTCTTCAGTGCATTAGATGACACTTCCTTAGAAGAACATGTTCTTGCTTTATGCAGTGTAATCTCCCCCTCTTCAGTCCGCTATGCGAGCCGGATCTCAAATGGTAGGATCTGCTTGTACCTTGATACAGAATCAACAGTAACTACTCTTTTATCCTCTGGTTTTTCTGTGCAAGGAACCTTCCTGAAAGTTCGACGTCTTGAATCATCTTCTAGGAAACTTGTCTCCTGAGCTTCCTGATTCCATTATTCTGGATGCACTGTCTTCACTGGGTAAAGTCACCTCCCCTCTTTCATCTCTTGGTGTTTCTGTGAAGAGTCCCTCCCTCCAGCATGTCAAATCATTTCGTACATTTCTTTATATTCATATCCAAAATGAAAATGCAGTCCCCTCTTCCATCCCCATCAGTTTTGAAAACCGGAACTATAGAATCTTTCTGTCATTCGGCGACATGACCTGCTTCCACTGTAAAGAAAGCGGTCACACTAAACGAAACTGTTCCAAACTCAATGAACCTGTTCCTCAATCTGACCCAGATCAGACTCATTCCACTCCTGCAGTAACAAAGCAGAACATAACCGTATCACCAACATCAAACACACCTACCCAAGCGCAAACTTCACGCACTGACATCCCAACACATCCTCATGCTGAAGTGGAAATTTGTGATCCTGACCAACAACAAACACCTGATGTGCAACCCCAAGTACATCGGGCTAGCCAAACACAAGACACTCAAATACCCAATCCCTCTATTAGAGAATGCGAAGTTTCACCCACAACTCCTACCGCTTCCACAGCAACTCCCACAACATCACATGCACCCACGTTTCCTGCTGCTTCGACAAACTTTTTCACATCATCACACCATTCACCTGCTTTCAATACAGATTGGCCTGGATCCATAAAAACTGGACAAATGAAATGAGCTTCATCCTTCTCTCTCTTTGACAATGAAACCAAAAAATTGAAAGACACACTCTCACAATCACTTGAAAGGAACCCATCCTCACAACCACAACCACTTCTCTTATCTGACTTAACTTTAACTACTAGAGGAAAATAAGTTTGATCTCAGTTGGATACTGATTCGTCCACCTTCACTTCCACAGATTTTTGAACTTCCTCAATGAAACCAAGCACAAACAAAAACCCATTCCTGTCGCTTTGAGGTACACCCAAAACCTGTCAGTTCTTGTTGACATCATCAAACAATTTGCAGAGGTCAACACTCATGAAAAACTCAGTAGGCGTCTAGCTACTCTTCAAGAAAAACTCAAACCCACAAATGTTTGATTCCCTCACTTAACTGGAAAGATGGATCGTTCCTTTTTATTTTTGACCCTCCTTTACCTCCTTCTTTCTCGTCTCCTTTCAGGAATGAGGATTGGAACCTTGAATACGAGAGGGTTAGTCTCTCCTCTGAGACTTCAACAGACTTTCGCCTTACTAAGCAAGTTTAAGGTTGACATCTATTTACTACAGGAAACCAACTTATCTGAAAGTGGTAAGATCCCAATTGATAATTTTGACATGGAAGCTTATTCGAGCCCATGTACTTCTCGTTGGTCTGGGGTTTTAATAGCCAACAGGAAGTCGACAACTCTCTTTTTTTCCTCTTGGTCTGAACTTGCCAAAGGTTATTTAATGCGTGTGAACTTTTCCCTTGAGAACGTAAATTTAACATGCTACAATGTTCATATACCTCAATCTGATGAACTCGCCCTGAACTTATTATCTGTTTTAGACCAAGATTTATTGTCCATTCCCTCTTAATATAAATTTTCATGAGAAGCATGCAAATTTTGACCTTTGACCACAGATCATGGCCTCGCGGGTGACCTGAGAGAGCCAGCAATCGGCTCCAAGGCCCTTTCTTGAGGTCCCTTACAACAATTATAGAGCAGAATTTTGATCCAGTGGGGTCGATTTTTATGTTCCCGTAGTACCTTAAAAAGAGCTTTCTATTGATATGCAACATGTGTATGATAATGCAATATTTAAAAATTAATCCAATTTTAAACGTGATACTTTTGTCACACCCGTAACAAAAGTTACAGGTGGGACAAACATTGCACATGTGGATCCAGAATGACTTGAAATCTTGAGTTTCATCCCTTAAGGTGGTTACTTGCGTACATACTAACAACATAACAATCGAAACAATTTCGACCCACGGTGACCCTTTCGACCCATTGTGACCTTCCCTGAATCCCTGAGCGACTCGTACGTGTAATTCGTGCGACCCTGTCTCGAAGAGAAATTCGAGTCTTCGGAACGCGAGGATCCGCTCGGCCTTTTCGTCCGACGTCGTACCTCTTCCGTATCGTTCTCATCGAGCACGTACGGAGCCGTGTCCGACACCCGAGGGAACGGAAACGATCGACAGAATTGCAGAAAACAAGTACGAAGAAGGATGCGAAATCGGCAGGTCGACCCGAACGTCGTCGTCGGATCCGATGGCACGACCCGCATCGAAGTCGGAGCCGAAGCGTTTCGGCCGAATCGCGAGGACCCGAGGCGACGTCAGAGTGCGAGTCTTCTTCGTCCCTCTTCTCCGTTCGGAAAAAAGTTTGGAAGCGGGAACTGGATTTTTACGATTCGAGCTGCAGGATATCGACTTCGATCGTAAGAGCTTCCACAAGGGATACCTTTAGTCTCACGCTCCTCGCAGAAATAGGGATCGGATCCTTCCAAGACTTCGCCTTTGACGAACCGACCGAGGGAGTCGGTGAGACTTCCGACTTTGCACCGGGAGATCGAGTGCCAGGAACGTCTCCTCGCGTTCGTAGCCGTCCCGGAAGAGACGAGAAATTCAGCTTCAAGTCTTTATCCTTTTGCGGTCGTAATAAAATTAAAATAAAAGCGCGTGTCCGCGGTTTTCCCACTCTGTCTTCTCTCTCGGTTTGATAAGTTTCCTTTCTTTGTTCTTTCTTTTTTCTTTCCTGATCATATAGGCTATAGTTTTCCGCTTTCCTCTTTTGTGGATTGCTGGCTTCATTTGCATATTAATTAATTCATTTGTTATCGTTCTTTTTTGGTGTTTTTTGTTACTTAGGTTTAGGACTTTTTCATTGCCTCGTCCTTTCTGTATAGTACTTTGCATATGTATTGCCTCCTCTTTTTCCTCTCGCTATTCCTAGACTGCCGGGTGACGTCGACTCCCTTTCCATTTACTTCCGTGTCCCTCCCCTCTAGCCTTTGGCTTCGTTTCTTTCATCCCCCACCCCAGGCTTATGTTATTCCTAGACTCTTTTTTTTTTTCTCTCCCTCGCACGGTTTCTTCCTTGCGCGTGGCTTTCTCCATCATTCCTTCTTCGCTTGGTTTCGTCGAGCCGAGTGATCCAGCATGATGTCTCGTCATCGTCTGGGCGAACGTTTGCCAAGAATGCACGCCGTTCTCTTCAGTGCATTAGATGAAAACTTCCTTAGAAGAACATGTTCTTGCTTTGTGCAGTGTAATCTCCCCCTCTTCAGTCCGCTATGCGAGCCGGATCTCAAATGATAGGATCTGCTTGTATCTCGATACAGAATCAACAGTAACTACTCTTGTATCCTCTGGTTTTTCTGTGCAAGGAACCTTCCTGGAAGTTGGACGTCTCGAATCATCTTCTAGGAAACTTGTCCTGTCTAATGAGTCTCCTGAGCTTCCCGATTCCATTATTCTGGATACATTGTCTTCACTGGGTAAAGTCACCTCCCCTCTTTAATCTCTTGGTGCTTCTCTGAAGAGTCCCTCCCTCCAGCATGTCAAATCATTTCGTAGATTACTTTATATTCGTATCCAAAATGAAAATGCAGTCCCCTCTTCCATCCCCATCGGTTTTGAAAATCGGAACTATAGAATCTTTCTGTCATTCGGCGACATGACCTGCTTCCATTGCAAAGAAAGCGGTCACACTAAACGAAACTGTCCCAAACTCAATGAACCTGTTCCTCAATCTGACCCAGATCAGACTGCAGTTCCTCATTCCACCCCTGCAGTAACAAAGCAGAACATAACCGTATCACCAACGTCAAACACACCTAACCCAGCGCAAAAACCTCCCGCACTGACATCCCAACACATCCTCATGCTGAATTGGAAATTTGCGATCCTGACCAACAACAAACACCTGATGTGCAACCCCAAGTACATCAGGCTAGCCAAACACAAGACACTGAAATACCCAATCCCTCTATTAGAGAATGCGAAGTTTCACCCGCAACTCGCACAACATCGCATGCACACACATTTCCTGCTGCCTCAACAAATCTTTCCACAATATCACATGCACCCACGTTTTCTGCTGCTTCGACAAACTTTATCACATCATCACACCATTCACCTGCTTTCAATACAGATTGGCCTACACTTCTATGCAAACCATCAAAAACTGGACAAATGAAATGAGCTTCATTCTTCTCTCTCTTTGACAATGAAACTAAAAAATTGAAAGACACACCCTCACAATCACTTGAAAGGAACCCATCCTCACAACCGCAACCACAACCACTTCTCTTATCTGACTTAACTACTAGAGAAAAATAAGTTTTATCTCAGTTGGATACTGATTCGTCCACCTTCATTTCCACAGATTTTTTGAACTTCCTCAATGAAACCAAGCACAAACAAAATCCCATTCCTGTCGCTATGAGGTACACCCAAAACCTGTCAGCTCTTCTTGATATCATCAAACAATTTGCAGAGGTCAACACTCGTGAAAAACTCAGTAGGCGTCTAGCTACTCTTCAAGAAAAACTCAAACGCACAAATGTTTGATTCCCTCACTTAACTGGAAAAGATGGATCGTTCCTTTTTATTTTTGACCCTCCTTTACCTCCTTCTTTCTCTTCTCCTTTCAGGAATGAGGATTGGAACCTTGAATACGAGAGGGTTAGTCTCTCCTCTGAGACTTCAACAGACTTTCGCCTTACTAAGCAAGTTTAAGGTTGACATCTGTTTACTACAGGAAACCAACTTATCTGAAAGTGGTAAGATCCCAATTGATAATTTTGACATGGAAGCTTATTCAAGTCCATGTACTTCTCGTTGGTCTGGGGTTTTAATAGCCAACAGGAAGTCGACAACTCTCTTTTTTTCCTCTTGGTCTGAACTTGTTAAAGGTTATTCAATGCGTGTGAACTTTTCCCTTGAGAACGTAAATTTAACATGCTACAATGTTCATATACCTCAATCTGATGAACTCGCCCTGAACTTATTATCTGTTTTAGACCAAGATTTATTGTCCATTCCCTCTAATGCTCTCGTTTTCTGTGGCAGTGATTTTAATTGCACTATATTACCGTCCCTTGATAGGGACAACAGTATCGAGTATAGACGCAGCATCCAACACCGACTACAAACTGTCATTGATTCCCACTCCCTTTTAGATGCTTGGAGAGAATTTCATCCTAAAGACCGAGAATTTACTTACATAGCACCCCATGACATCCATCCTAGGGCTCGCCTAGACAGAATCGACACGAATAATGTCTCCTTCTCCAAAATAATTAGCACCGAAATTATCCCCTTTTCTCCTGTCTCTGACCACTCAGCAGTTTTTGTTTCCTTTTCCTTTCCTCATCCCACAATGAGACGGTCAGGGTATTGGCACATTAATGACTCATTGCTTGATGATTCCAATTATAGGCAATCTCTTCTGACCATCTGGCAGGGATTGTTGCAAGAGAGATGCGATTACGACAATGTGAGCCTTTGCTGGGATGTAACCTTGTAATTTTCTGTCAATCACGAATCTAAAAAAAAACTCACTTCCGTGGGTCCGGCGAGGATGTAAAAACATAAAAGGGTTAAGAACGCCACGGTAAAATAGGGTAAGATTTTGAGCTCGGTCGGGATGCGGAATCGGCTCGATAGAACCGATCTGACCCGTGCATCGGGCATGAAGGTCGGTCGACGATCT